TGAAGGACTCAATATACATATATATATATATAGCATGCAAATGTGTGTGAAGGATTCAATATGTACAAACTTATGTGAAGAACTCAATATATGTATCCAACCTAGTGTATCTCGTACCAAAATCGAGTCAAAGCAAGCACGGGGTAGACTCGTGTGCACTTGGACGAGGACGTTGCCGCATATCCGCTGGACTTCGAGCAGCACGAGCATGTGAGTAAGCGACGGCAGCTCCAAATCGACCGGCGCAGTTGGAAAAAACATCTGCGACACGGTTGGGTACATGGCGCATGTCGCGGGGTCGGGCGTCGGCGCCAGGAGCCTACAATACACATCAAATATATTGGTCCTGCCGCCATTTGTAGAGATATAAATCCCAAATGCTATCAGAAGACACGATCAATAACGTAAAACTAGACGATAAGATGACACTATTAGCAAGTACATTGCTTTGTATGGGGATAGGTAGACGAGTCTGCATTTCGAATGCCCAATATATGAATGTATGTTCACAATAATATCTATGATAATACGTAGAAACAAACAATATGTATATATCAATGAATGATGGAGTTATATTGGAGATGGTGTAAGCCGCACCACATCGGCAGAGACAATCGATCGACCAATCAAAACCCACAACACGATTCAAGTGACCAATCAAACTCTATCACCAACCATATTCAACATAAATTCGTGTATAAACAGAAAGTAATGTGAAGGGTTTTTCACACATGTTCCATACAAATTTCAGTACAAACCATCGATTTATCAAGATGGCTTTGGTAAGTCCGCACAACCATCCAAATTTCATCCTCGAATACAACATATATATAATTACCAATGTGGCAATAAATGATCCTGAATCGCAATCAACTCTGCCGTCACGAGCTCCCATATCGGCGGTGGGAACTGGTGGCCATGCTCGATGAGCAGCGTCTCATAAGAGGAGGCGGCCGCCACCGCCAGTTCGTCTTCGGACTCGCGCACAAGCCATCGCTTGAGTAATTCCTAACACAAACACAAGTTTCATATGGTTGGATGAGCTTATATTGGAATTGTCCTGTCGGTTGTTTGAATATAGACTACCCAGTACACTCGACGGAATGTGGTCAATGTAGTAAGGAATAGCAGAGCCAATCAAACTGCACGAATTCAAAGGTTCAGCCAAGTTTCAGCCAATTATCAATCAGCATACTCGATCCAGCCAACACACAACTTGAAATATGTATCCGATGCATGGAACAAGCTGAAACTTTGGACTCGAATCGATTCTGAAAGTCCAAATTTCAGCGAAAACGACAGCATTGAATGACCACTATTGAACATCATGCGATACAAATTCCAAGTCGAAAACCTCACTCCAACGTACAAGCCCCAATGTTTGGAGAATAAAAATACTATTAAATACATATATATATATACAGTATATATTACAAGCTCCGGTAGAACGACGATTGAACATCATGCGATACAAATTCCAAGTCCAAAAGGTCACTCCAAAACACAAGTCCCAATGTTTGGAGAATAAATATATTATTAAATACACAAATATATAAATATATATAAACATAAATATATATGTATATTACTTTCTTATACGTACGAGAATGTCGTCGACGTGTCCAATGGACGGGTAGAACGATCCGTACAAGTTGACAAGGGCCAGCAGTGCTTTTTTAGACGATATCCGACTGAACGCTGTGGTTTTGTTGAGTTCGACGAGGCGAATACTCTCCATAAGAGGTACGAGCAGCTCTCGAAAGATCAGAAGCCACAAATTTGCATCGATGGCAGCCCCGTCCAAGTGCAAAGTGCCGTATAACGTGTCCACGGCGGCATTCCTACACACTCGAGTCGGTCTAATTGTTGCGCTGGGGTTATTTTTTTTTCAAAGTAGTCAAAATAACCAGGAAATGGGTATATATATATATATATATCGCTTTGGCAATTATATTATACATGTAGTATTGTGGCGCCATAGATATATTTGTTTAGCTTTCAATTTCAATCTCTCTTGCTTTGGTCGAGGATGTGTACATATTTTGATTGTGATTATATACATGTTCTCGTACCGAATACCAGGGTGTGGATCGCTGGCCAGCGTCACGAGTGCCTTCAACACAGGCCACCAAGTATGCGCATAATAGTTGTTGCCAAATGGAGGAACGCTAGCTGTTGGTTGATATCCTCTGAAAAAATATATCTTGTCAGAAAATATATTTCCGTCGAAAATGCAAAGTAACGCACTGGTCGGTGGCACTTCCGAGGCGATGCCGTGGGGAGATGGCAATATTGGCTTGGTCCAGCTGTTCCATCACACGACCAGAGGCCACATGTCTAAAACATCAAGTCATTGCATCACAGATATATATATATAATATATATATATAAATATATATTGGACACTGTGGTGGCATAGGGAATAATTGCTTAAACAAGTACCGTAAACATAAGCCCAAGACGGATATGGCGTCCAGACTCATTTGCAGCAGCTCGCCAGATGACAAAGATGGAAGGGACCCACACAATGCAAACGCCAAGATGCACTCGACCACGTCCACAAACACAGCCACCTACAGACGTACATATATTATCATATATTTATGACTTTATATCATATATTTATATGACTTTATATCATATATTTATGATTTTATATTTATGACTGGATACTATAGTGTTGTGATTACTCTAAACTGGAGCAGGGACACATGAAGAAGGACTCGACCACATGAATACCAAAGCATCGGCAAATGTATGTAGCCAATCAGATTGTAGGAAATCAATCATCCGTTCCACAAAGCAACACCTAATTAGTGTATGGGGGCTGACGAAGTTAGCCAATCAGATTGTGGGAAACCATCCTCGAATTAGTGTGTGCGACTTCAATATATTCGTGTGATTGCACTCCCCACATGACAACGTTATACATATAAAATGCAGTCCACACAAAGCATCGATCGATAATCGAATTTCATACACCAGTCCAAATTGTTTGGGTACAATGTACTATAGTAGTACACACGTACACTACCCAAACACAAAAGTGTCGAAAATGTCAATCTTTTTATAATATACAAGGTTTTGGCTTGTATAATGAATAGACAAATACTCTCATCCAGAGCACCAAACAAACCCATGTGACACACGACATGTCATAACTCTTGGACATAAATACTCTTCACTGCGCCATACCAACCCACACATCCCACGATTCAGTTACAAAAAAGATATTATTTAAAAAAATATATAAAGTGCTCGGTTGTAGATAATATTATAAACGCAACAATCAGTAGTCAGTCAAGCGCTTTTGAGTTGATTCTAACTTGGAGCGACCGACATACACAATGAGTCGACACAACCACATAAAACCACAAACGAATCGGCAACATATTGAGCCAATCAGATTTGCAGGAAATCAGTGTCAAGATTGAATTTAGTGTAAAACATAAATTAGTGTGTCCATACAATCACCACTGGGCAACTAATTACATACAAAATGAATAGTCCAAAGAACCACAAGAGATTTTAAAAAAAAATGTCAGCACCCAAGTTCCAATTACGGGTAATAAAAGACAAGTAAATGTATTATAGGAACGCACCACCCGATCAAAGTGGCTGTGGACGATCGTTTTGGCCAGCATAAACCCCATAAGCACCACGCGGGCGTCGTGGGCGGCGGCGTCGAATGTTTCCGCGGCGACTCTCAAAACACCCCAAATGGTTTTCCAGCCAGATTTAATATTTCCCACGCGACTCCGCAGCATGTTGTGCACGCAGCTACATTTTTCGTTGTTACATGTGATTATATTATACAAGTGTTCCCGTGAATCAATATCAATATATATGCAAAAATAACATATATTTTTGATCTGGCACACAAAGAAGAAATAGAAATCAATCGATTGTTTATTTTTGATCTGGAACAAATAATAATATATAAATATAAATATTTTTGATCGAAAACAACGAATACATATGAATAAATAAATTTACTTTTGATCTTGAACGAGATATATATATATATATATATATAAATGGAGTTTTATTGACTGGTGTGGTATTCTTACCTGAGTACCAATTCGCGAATCTCGGTGGCCACGGCGTTGGCCATGATAATTTCAAATGGCGTAAGGAAGAGCCGCTGGAAATTAAAATCGCGAAGTTCGTCCTTTTCGAGAAACTTCATGCTCAGCTGCTTGAGCGAATCGATCGCGTACATGGCAATGCCCAAATTGTCGTGGCACCCGATCGTCGTAAAGTGTCGGCTCAATACTAACAAACCCAAGTTTAATATATATATATATAATCGTCAAATCGATTCGAAACTGGAGGTGTCAGTAGAATCGAATGTCTTGAGCGAATAATGCGTTCAAGAACCGCCAATCAAATCACGTTGTTCGGGAGAATTTCTGCCAATCCAAAGTACTGATATCAGTTCAGTATCCACTCAAACCCTGATATGTACAACATATATGTTATCCATATATGTTGTATATATAGTTTGTACTTCAAAGTATACACTTCAATAGGGTAAAACGCTATTGGCAAATAGGCTCAACAGTCCAATATGGATGAAAAGCACAATACATTCATATACATATATAGCAAGAAAGGAAATGTTTCCTCGATATCAAATGATTAACTGTAAAACAAATCATATCGTTATCATATGAAAAGTGTCCATCTACCAATCATACACATCCTCAACGGATTTGGTCGTTGATATGTGTGTGTCTAGAGCGAAATTCATTCAACTGCTAACAACCACTACAACAATATATCCACTTCAAACTGAAATAAATCCCAAATATCTCAACGTAAATTGGCCCATCATACGTGCATATCCCCATACTGCAACGCCCACTGCAAACATACCACTCCACATGCTAGCCCACACCACACGGGACCGCACGTGCATGTTCATATCGGCGACTTCGACCAGCTTTTGCAGCGAAAACACCCGCGGCAACGCCGCTGCCGTCCGCACCGTCATGCCCGAGCCCGTCAATCCTACGACCAAAAGCCCACAACTCAACCACGTGGTTATAAATGTCAAACTAGATGGCTTACCCTGACACTCTGTGAGGGACACAATGCACAGCTGCTGCACAAACTCTTGCACTGATGTATCTGTTAGAAACGGCGAGTTGCTAAATACACGGTCACTAGCGAGGCCGTCGATTTGGTCGGCGATACGCTGCGCATTTTGAGCTTCCATCGCCATGAGCTGGTCTTCCGACACGGTCTACATATATAAATATATTCAACAATATATATATATATATTGTTGGGCACGAGAAAGTAGCAGTCGAAATGGATAACATACTTTACGCATGGACACATCATGCAACCTGAAGCATATATATATATCAGCCACGATAGGTAGCCGTCCCATTTTCCTTTCAGACAAATATATATCTGTAAACGTCTCCTACTTTTAGACGCTACCTAAATCAAATAATATATATATACGTACTAAAAACCGTATTTTATTTTTTTAACATATATATATGTATATATTATATAGTAGTATAATTACACAGTTCAAGTCTTCCACATGTATATATTACATAGGTACAGTACATCCATATATATCTGGACGGTAGCTTGAAGAAACTAAGATATCCTTACTGAATACTATACAGGGAACATATATAATAAATATAAATATATATATATATACATTGTGTTTTTCACGGCGAAAATCAAGCAGTACCAGGGGTTTGAATTTTGGAGACTGCGTCGGGTGTGGCAGCGTGAACGGATTGCTGATGAAGCTATAAGCATGACCGAACGAGGTCAGTCGTTTGGACGCGCTGGTGCTGGTGCTGCCGGGGAGGCCGTTGGACGGGGGGGAGACGAAGAATTGCGTGTCGGCTTGCAGGCCTTGGGCATGCAGCTGGAGTCGAGCCAAGTGCGAAATACACTGTAGGACATCGCGCTACACAAGAAACACATATATATATACCAACAACATATATATATATATACGTACCCAGGCGTCGCCTAGAAAGTTGCCTTCTTTCACAGCTATAGCAATCAGCGTCTTGATCGCTTCGATCTGTTTGGTGCCAATTGAGCGCGTGGCCGAATGCTGGACGGCGGTGAAGTTGGCTAGTACAGACACGTACGCGTCTCGTTCTGACTGCATTTGGAGTCTACAGCAAGGAATGTAAAGTGGGTTGGAAGAATGAACAAGAATATATTATATATACAAGGAACTCTTGTTGTGGAAATAGCGTAGAAGGTATATATATATATATATATACGAAGGATGCGTCAGGTAACATTTCAAAAAATAGAAATGTCATTTTCTGACTCAATGGGAAAAACCAAAACTGCCATTTTCAAAATGGAGGTAAAAGGTGTCCATTTTTTATTGTAATATTGCTTATTGCACCAATTCAAGGAGTAAATCCCAGTCTAGGAAGTATTGGATTTGGGTTAAACCTATCCTAGCAAGACATATTTCTATTCTTATCAGATTTATTATTGTACATATGAACATTCTGCAATCGGACATTCACCGCCATAACGTCACGTTCACAAATTACAGCGTATACTTACATAATACCATATATTTCATTTCTGGACGATGTCACTCATATTTGTTTAGATTTATTTCTATTTATGGCGGCAAACAACAGTGCCTGTTAGTGTATCCGGAAAAAGGTATGTTTTGGAAACAAACCAGTCCAACTCCCCGACGCAATAGGAGGATGTACAAATACATACATATATATATATATATTTACAAAAATGAGAAAAATTTTATATAGTATTACCTTGCGGACAAATGAATCGCGTGCTTGAACCCGTCGAGGCAATACTGGATGGCCACGGGGTGGTCGGACGTTTCAAAGAGGACGCTGCAGACGGCCAGCAGCGGCGCCCACACGATCTCAAACATAGGCTTCACGTACACATTCTCGGTGGAAGATACGACATATGACGAAGGCGGCGGCGACGATTTGGTCTCGGCATTAGCATTTGATGATGGCGATTTGCGCTTAAAGTACGCTTCCGACGCCTTGACCTACCCAATCAACCATTGGACTTGCATAAAACTACATTGCTTTCTTTTTTAAATATTCGATCGCACACATATATAATATATATATACAAACGACAGGATATTTATATTTCTTTGATTTCACGTGTGGATAGGATCAAACCCAGAGAATCCCCACAGAAACAGACGCATATATATATATATATATGGCCAGTTTGAGTCGAAAAATGAAATGGACGAGGAGGGGTTTCGATCGGATATACATCAAATCGGCCGACAATCGATCGACCAATCAAAACCCACAACATGAATCGAGTAGCCAATGAAATCCCCACTCTACAACCATTCAAACCATTGAATTCGTGTAGGACTTCTATTAGTGTGACACGTATTTGACATACAACAGTCAGTACAAAACAATTGATGGATTTGGTGAATCAAATCACACATCTTGGTTGAAAGGACAATATATAAAACCAGCCGTATCTATTTATATATATATATATA